CTGTTGAAGCTGGCGGAGCCGGTCGAGTTCAGCGACACCATCCAGCCCTCCTGCCTGCCCACCCCAGACTCCCTGCTGCCCCAGGGCTTCCCCTGCTACGTCACCGGGTGGGGCCGTCTCTGGAGTAAGTCAGTGGCTCCCCCCCCCCCCAAAGCAGGGAGGAGCAGCCCCACAGGCAGCCATTCTAACTCCCTGCCTCCCTCCCTCCCTCGCAGCCAACGGGCCCATCGCGGACACCCTCCAGCAGGGCTTCCTGCCCATGGTGGACCACGCCACCTGCACCCAGAAGGACTGGTGGGGCTCCATGGTCAAGGCCAGCATGGTCTGCGCAGGGGGAGACGGCGTCATTTCGGGGTGCAATGTAGGTTTGCTCCTCCTGCATGACCTGGGGGGGCCTTAAGCACAGAGACCGATGGGGGTCCCCAAAGGCCGAACCACGGTGAACTGAACTCATGGTCAGCCACAAGGGCCTGGGTTCTAGTCCTGCATGAACCCACAGAGCTCCGTGGCTGGACTGGCAGGCAGCCGGGATTTCTCACAATCGGTGGTTAAAAGGACGAGGGCAAAGCCACTCGCCCGCCCACCCACCCTCCCTCCTCTGCCCTCAGGGAGACTCCGGGGGTCCCCTGAACTGCCGCAGTGGCGACTCCTGGCAAGTCCATGGCATCGTTAGCTTTGGCTCCGCCCTCGGCTGCAACACGGCCAAGAAGCCCACCGTCTTCACCCGCGTCTCCAACTACAACTCCTGGATCGCCGAGGTGAGTGGGGGCTGGCAGGGACCCCATCCCGTGCCCCCCCCCTGGATCCTTTCCCCAGGGACTCCGAGGCCCCCTCTCTCTGGAGCGATGGACGGACGTCCTTCCTGATAATCGGTTTGATTCTCTCGCCATGAGGTCAGGAAGCCTCCACAGTCAAAGGCTCCGGCCCACTGGAGGTTCTGTGGCTGGAGCATGTGCAGAGTGCAGAGCCCGAAGATCTCCCCCGCCTTCTGGGCTGCGGCTGCCTCTCAGGTGGCTCACCCCATGGGAAGAAGCCACGTGGGGCGGCTTCCTCCTGCAAGGGGGGAACCGTGCCTGGTTGAGGCTGGAAGCGCCTCAGGCGGGGCGGAGGAGCTGCTGAGCTGCAAAGGGGATTTTCCCTCCTTCCCCACCCTGAACTCGGATCCCTTCGCCTTTCCCCCCTCTAGAAAATGAGCCAGAACTGAGGAGGCAGCTGCGCCCCCCCCCCGGCCAACCCACGTTGGAAAACGCTCAATAAAGGCTTTTATCATCCCAAAAGGCTCTGCCTGTCTGTCTGTGTGTGTGTGTGTGTGTGTGTGTGCCCCCCTCCAAATCCCTGGGATTTCTTCAGACCCTCTGAGGGTCTCTCTTTACCTGGCCTGAAGCACAACCACACCTGCACCTCTCAAGACCTCAAGGAATCCCCCCCCCCTCTCTCAGGCGGACGGAAGACACACGGCCCACGGGGGGGGGGGGGGAGGAAAGGGGCAAGCTCTAACAGACACAGGGAGTCCTCGATTTATGACCACTGGTGCCCCAAAGACATGTTGCCCAGAGACCTCCGTTAAGAGAGTTTTACAACCTTCCTCGCCACCTTTGTCCAGCGAAGCCCTGCCGTCGTTAAGTTAGTCACAAGGGTTGTGATGTGAACCCAGCTCCCCCCATTGACTTTGCTTGTCAGAAAGATGCAAAGGGGGATTGCGTCATAAGTATGAGTCAGTCGCCAAGCGTCCGAATTCGGATCACGTGCCCACAAGGGGGGGGGGGCTGCCTCAGCCGTGTGAAAAATGCTAAGCCCCTTCTTTCACTAATGGTCACTAAGCGAACTCCTGCGAGTCCCCCCCCGTCCCCTGCTTTCACAGCTCAGGTGTGTGAGGATGATGGGATTGTCCAGGTGATAATTTGGGAGAAATGACGGCTGAGGTTGCCTCCCTCCTCGATTCTGAGCTCCAGGGGGCCCCCAGGGCGGCCCCACGTTTCCTGGCAAGACGAGGCCCCCCTGAAGTGGGAAGGAGGACCCCCGGGAACTTCAGTCGCTTCTGCTACCTGAGCCAGTTTGGCCCCAAACAGATGGGGGGGGGTTTCCTCCGAGCAAGATGTCGGGGTGGGAGGGTAATGACTGGCAGGAGGAGGAGCTTCCCCGAGGGCCTCCCCGCCCTCTTTCCCTGGGGGAGCCGGGCATTGGCACCCGGGCAGGGGAGAGCCCAGGGGGGCAACGTCTTGTCTGTCGAGGGGGGGGGGGCGGACCTTGGCAAGCTGGAGCCAGGGCAGAAACCAGCCAGATTCCCCTCCAGACCTGAGACCCCCACTCATCCAAAGGGCCCTAGTCACAGGGGGGGCCGGGGGTCTTCAGCCCCCCCCCCCGTGGGCTGCTGCGGCAGAAAGAGCCAATGCCACCCACTGTCTGTCTTCCCGCCTCCAAGCCAGGCCTCAACCTTGGCCTCCAGCCCTGGCATGGACAGAGAGGGACCCGTCCACAGGAGAGACCCCCACCCAGAGGATTAACCGGGGAGGGGGAGACACTCAAGAGGAGCCCTTGGGGTGGGAGAAGTGGAGGAGGGGCTGCCCAGGAAGAGATGGGCTCAGAATTGGGGCCAGGGAGGCAACCGGAGCCTGAATGGGGGGCAGCCCTGAGTCACAGGAGGCAGAACGGGGTTTCTCTCCCTTGGGCTCCCTTGGCGCCTCCCAGCCCCTTTTTTTTGGGGGGGGGGAAATTGATGGCCCCAGACCAACTGGGGAATTTCCCCTGCCTGGAAAACGGAGTCCCTCCACCCCCCCACACCTGCAAGGGGGCCAAGATGGGAGGAGTCCCGGTTGAGGGTCCCAAGCAGCCTTTTGGCAGCTGTCCCGGGTTTTACAGCAGGGGCTGGGGGGCTCTCCCCCCCCCCACTTCCTCAGACCAGACATACGCCAGGGGTTAGGGCAGCCGGCAGCTGAGGAAGGACGGGAAATACGGAGGTTTCCAACAACTGTGCCAGCCTGGATGATCCAGCTGCTGCTGCTCCCACACCTGGGAGCCCCCTGCCCCTCCGGCCAGAGCCAGTGGGCTGCCCTGGGGCCCTTGGAGAGCCTGGCCCAGTGAGGGACGATGCAGCTGATGCCCTCTGCCAAGGGGCCGCCTCCCTCCTTTATCAGCCCAGCGACAGATAACCTGGCAAGGTCAGAGGCGCCTGGCGACGGCACCTGGTCGGGGCTCCAAGGATGCTCGGCTGCAGCCGGCTATAAATACGGGCGAGGCTCCCCAGAGGCCACTTCAGTGGCTGCCATCATGTTCAAGCTGCTCTGCGCCCTCCTGCTCGTGGCTCAGGGTAAGTGGCTGTGGGGGGGGGAGCCCTGCCTTGCCCCCTGCCCCCCTCTGGGAACGGCTCGGCTCTGCCTGGGGCTGCTCAGTGCAGGAACCAGTCAGTTTCCCTGCCTGTTTAAAGCAAAGAGAAGCTGGTCCATCCTGCCTGCACCGATGAGTCGGAAGGTGATTTCTCCCCCTTGGAAGTGCCTCCGTTTCCCCTGTTTGTCTGTGTGTGTGTGGGGGGGGGGGCAGACTTTAGAAGAAGAAAGCCGTCGAGAGGGCTCTTCTGTTATTGACATCGATTGCTGAGTGGCCTCCTTTCCTTCCTTCCCTCTCCTCCTCTGTGCTTTTCTCAGCCTACGGCTGCGGCCGCCCCACCTATGTGCCCAACATTTCCCGTGTGGTTGGGGGCGAAGATGTCCGGCCCCACAGCTGGCCCTGGCAGGTAAGGGGGCCTTGGGGGCCGTGCTTGCTTGCCGCAGTCTGGAAGGGCAGAAGCTTGGCTGCCTGCAGGCGTTGCCCTGGGGGACTCCTTGCCACTGGAAGGGGGAGAGGAGATCTTCGTGAGGCTCGGGGAGGGGGGTGTTAAGGCGCAGGGCAAAATCCAGGCGGGGGGAAGTGGGGGGGGGCTTCAGGGTTTGGTATTCTGCTTCCAGGTCTCCCTCCAGTACGACAAGAAAGGAGTCTGGGCTCACACTTGCGGCGGGACCCTCATTGACGCCAACTGGGTGCTGACGGCCGCTCACTGCATCAGGTACCCCCCCGTGTCCCACCCCCCCCAGGAGGCCGAATCTGGGGGGAAATTTCTTTCCTCCTCCCGGGGTGAAGGGAGCGAAGTCCCCGTCTCTTCTCTCCCAAAGGCCCCTGGGGAGTCTTCCGAAGGGCACTGAAGAAACCCCCACCCCCAGTGTGTTTTCTGTGGGGGGGGGAGGAGAGGGACTGCCCCCCCCCAGCCAGCTTTCTCAAGGGACTCTTGCCTACCCCCCCCCCCAGCTCCACGCGGACCTACCGGGTGGTGCTGGGCAAGCAGAACCTGAAAGCGGCCGAGGCCGGGGAGGTGGCCGTGGCGGTGGAGAAGGCCATTGTGCACGAGAAGTGGAACTCCCTCTTCATCATGTGAGTCTCTCTCTCTCTCGGGAGAGCTGGGGCTAGGGATGACCAGGGAGGGGGCTTGCCCACCTTCCCCCCCCCCTCAACGCCGCTGTTCCTCTTGCAGCAACGACATCGCCCTGTTGAAGCTGGCGGAGCCGGTCGAGTTCAGCGACACCATCCAGCCCTCCNCAGGATGGCCACGGAGGAGCTGGCGGGCAAGCTGAGCCGCCGCCTGCGCGTGGAGGGCGCCCCCGAGGAGGAGGAGGAAGGGGGCGAGGCGGAGGGGTCGCCGGGCCCCCGAGCCCCCAAGCCAGGGCAGCTCTCCCCGGGCGGCGCCCACCGCGTCTTCAGCCCCTACAGCGAGTTCCGCGAGTTCTCCCGCCGGCAGATCAAGGACATGGAGCGGCTCTTCCGCCAGTGAGTTGGGGGGGGGGGCTGCAGAGGAAGACACCCCCCCCCCGCTTCTCCTTCTGCCGGAAAGCGGGCCGGGGGATGATCTGCTCGACGGGGGGGGGGATGTTCTTGAAAAGCGGAGCGACCCAGAGGGGGGGCGGGGGCAGAGGCCTCCTGGCTGACATCCCGGGGAAGGCGCCCTCTGGGCACGTGCAGAGGACGCCTCGGCGGAGGCGACGGGACTTGGAGTCTAAAGGAGCGGAGAAGGCCAAGATGCCCCGTCCGGAGCCTGGGCGGGGGTCTGCCAGGGCCAAGTCCCCCTTGCGCGGCCCCAGAGAGAGAACCGCAGCTCCGGGAACCCGGGTTTCCCCCCGCAGGCTTCGGCAGGGCATCGTTTGGGAATGGGCGGGGGGGGCTGGTACCTCACCTGGGCTCTGCCTTTGATGGGAGGGGCTTTGGAGCGAGACCCTTCCAGGGGTTCCGCGGCTGCCCGCCCTCTGCTTGTGGGGCCGGCCAGGCAGAGCGAGGAGGGCAGGTTGCGCCAGGTGGAAATGCAGCAGCCTCTGTTTCAGTCAAGGCAGCCGCGGAGTTGGGCTTGTGCCGGCGGCCGCTCTTGCTTTAGGGGCTGATTTGCCCAGAAATTTAGGCTAATGAGGCTGAGGCTTAGCAGAGCCTCCCTGTCCAGGGATAGTCTTCCTGAGTACTGGGACTTTGGGGATGGTTCTCTCCGCTCTGGAGGGTCCTTTGGGGCTGGGGGCAGAAGGGGCTGGGACTGACCCTCTCCATTTCCGCCAGAGTGGACGTGCCTTGCATTCCGGACGGGCTCCTTGTTGTTGTGCAGAGTCTCACACTCATCAAGCGTTGCATCAGCTCCCCGAGTGGGGGGGGGGCAGGGAACGAAGGGGATGCTGCAGTTTCTGACTCGTTGGGCAGAGAAAGGTGGGGGGGGGGACCCAGCCTGAACAGCCGTAGAAATAGAAGAAATACATTCTAAAAAGCAGCCAAAATCACCGGCAGGCTGCTGCCCCCAATCGCCTGGTGGCCTCCCATCCCAGGACTTGAACAGATGTTGTGGAGGCTGGGCTTCATCGGTGGTGATGATGACGATTCCTGTGGGTATCAGCTTAGTTCCCCCCCCCCCCCAGTGCTTGTTCCCTCTGTGGTTTCGGCTGTGTGTGTGTGAGGAGGGCAGGGAGGAAAGTGGACAGCCTGGGCAGCTCCCCTCCTGCCTGCCTCCTCCTCTCTGCAGGGAGTCCTGGGTTTGAGAGAGGCCTTTGAAAGATGGTGCTCCCTTGTGGCAGGGGGTTCCATGGGTTAATCTTGCAAACCAGGCTGCTGCAAGACTCAGTTCCTGCTTAGCAGCCTGGGAGTGGCTGCCTGAGGGAGGGGCAGGGGGCATGACTGGGAGGAAGGCAGGGTCCTTCACCACTCAGCCCAACTCCTCTGCCACTGGGAGGGCTGGGGGTGGAAGGAGCCAGCAGGAAGCTGGCACAGAAGCTGCTTAGCCAACTCCTGGCACAGGGCAGCTCCGGCTTTGCTCCGGGAATGACTTGGTCCCACCGCGTCTCCTGAAAGGACCCCCAAGAGCAGAGCTGCAGCTGGCTAGCAGACCCCAACCCTCCCTCCTAGATCACCTGGCGACCCTGAAGCCCCTCCCCCCCCCGGCTCTTGGTAGGCATCTTCCTGGCCCACCTGCAGACCCTGTTCCTGCCCCCCCCCAGCCCAGTTCTGCACTCAATGGAAAGGCTTTGGAAGGGCTGTGGGTGATGGAGGGGCCAAAGGGAAGCGCAGCCAACGTTACCAAGCTCTTACAAGAATCTGTAGATTATTAGGCTGAGCCCCTTATAGCTCTAACCCTGGTCCCCGTGTGAGACCCAGGCCCCTCAGGGCTAGCTTTAAGCCTCCTCTCTCTCTCTCTCCCCCTTCCTCCCGCCCTCCTTCCTCTTCCTTCTCCTTGGTTCTCTCTGAGCTTGGTGGCTTCCTTGCAGATGTTTCGTAGCACCCTTCGTAACACCAGTGGCAGCGTTATCTACTTTGTCCCACGTGACGTCTGCAAGGAACCCTCTGAGTCTCTGGGATTGCCTCCTCTCTCGCAGGCAGCTGCTTCTGTCCAGTCCTTTCGGCTGCCCCCGTGGGCCTCCCTCTTCCTCTGGGGCAGGCAGGAAGCAAGATGCTGGCCCCCTCCTCTGCTCCACCTGGACCCCCATCTCCGCTCGCAGCACTGTCCTTCCTGAAGGGAATTCTGCTGTGGGGATCCCCCCTGCCAGAAGGAGGGGAGCATGCAGGAACGTCTCCTGCCAGCTGCGGCCTCCTGAACCAGCTGGGTGACCCCCGGGCAGCTCTCGGAGAGAAAAAGCCCCACAACCAGCAGCCATCCTTTCCCTGCCCTCCGTGAGCCCAGAGATGGACGGAGCCCCCATCCTTTACCCGTGCTGGAGACTCCAGGCTCTTGGCGGAATCAGGCCATTCTCCAGGGCACGGGGGTCTGTCTGTGTCTGTCTGTGTGGGGGCAACTATAAATAATAAAACCAAACCAAACAACTGGCAGCCTCAGGCTGGAGGGTGGCCCTGGGGCCAAACTGTGCCGTCCTCCGCGGTGGATCCGTCCAGAGCCCCTGCGGGAGGGATCCGGGTCTCCCTGGGGGATCAGCTGGGCGAGGAATCTGTTCAGGATGGCGGGGGGAGTGGGCTAACGGCCTCTCTGCTCCGGATCCCCCACCCCCCCAGGTATGACGCGGGCAAAGACGGCTTCATTGACCTGATGGAGCTGAAGCAGATGATGGAGAAGCTGGGGGCTCCCCAGACCCACCTGGGCCTGAAGGAGATGATCAGGGAGGTGGACGAAGACGTGGACAGCAAGCTCAGCTTTCGGGAGGTCAGAGCCCTCCCCTTCTCCCCCCCTCCCCTTAAACAAGGGCCGGGGCAGGATCTGGCGGAGGCTCCGGTCTGTTTCCAACCCTTTCTCCCCCCCCCCTCCCAGTTCCTTCTCATCTTCCGCAAAGCGGCTGCTGGGGAGCTGGAGGAGGACAGCGGCCTCCATGCCCTGGCCTGCCTCTCCGAGATCGACGTCTCCACCCAGGGCGTCAAGGGGGCCAAGAGCTTCTTCGAGGCCAAAGTAAGCAGGGAGAAGGGGGACCTAAAGGCTGGGGGGGGGGGGCAGGTTCACTTGCACAGTGGAGCCTTTGGGCCCCACTTCCTCAGCCCGCCTCATAGGGACGTTGTTGTTGTGGGGCAAAGGAGGAAGGGGGGGGCAGAGGGTCCCTCCCTTGAGTTATTGATAAGAACAATAAAAGGGGGGGGGCTAAACATAAATGAACCCCCCCCCCTCCCCACAGGTGCAGGCGATGAACGTGGGCAGCCGCTTCGAGGAGGAGATCAAGGCGGAGCAGGAGGAGAAGCGGCGCCAGGCGGAGGAGCTGAAGCAGCGGAAGGAGGCCTTCAAGGAGCTGCAGTCCACCTTCAGGCAGTAGCCGGCCCCCCCACCCCCCCCCCCCCGCCCCCCCCCCCCCCCCCCCCCCCCCCCCCCCCC